TGTCTGACTATTCACAGCCAGGTGCATGTGTGTGTGTGTATTTGCATGTGTGTGTGTGCAAGTATGTGTAGAGGCCATAGAATCCAGAAGACAGCTTGTCACTCTTCAGGTGGCAGACACTGTTTATTTTTTTATTTTTGTTTCGTAGTTTTTCTTTTCCCTTATTTTTTTACTGAGCTTTTAAAATTTCATACACTATTTCCCACTCACATCCAAACCCCTCCCCCATCCATTGCCCCCTCCCACCAAATCCTATGCACTCTGCTATACATGCTGAGTCCTATTCATTCAGGTGTTTGTACTGAAATGTCCTTCAGTATAAATGCATCCACTGGAGTCTAGTCAGCCCATCCAGTGGTCATTGTGAGTCACACTCTCCCTCACCCAGCGGCAACCAGTCTCAAATAGTTCTTGATCTAGTGCTGGCCCGCCACCTATTTCTCACCTCCCCTTTGGGCCCTTGTTTAATTGAGGGTCTCTCAGTGGTCTGAATTGTGCCAGGTAGGTTAGGCTGGGTGGCTAATGAACCCCTAGGATCTACTTTCCCTTTCCAGCACTGGTTTTACAAGCACGTACCACTATGTCAAACTTTAAAAAATGTGGCTATTGGGAATCAGTCAAATCTTCATGCTGTCACAGTAAGTACTTCACATACTGAGTCATCTGCCTAGCCCAGAATTTTTGTTTTTTAAAAAAATATTTTATTTATTATTTTATGTGTATGAGCATATTGCCTGCAATGTACGTGAGTGCACCCATGTCAGTCAGAGGGGGTGTCAAATTCCTCTGGAACTGGAGTTAAGGATGGTTCTTAACCGCCATTAAGTACTGGGTGTAGAACCTGGGTCCTCTGAAAGAGCAGTCAGTGCTGTTGACTGCTGAATCATCTCTCCAACCCCCTGAATTTTTAGTTTTAAGTAAAAGGTTATTTAAGAGCATCCAGATCACATAACTTTTACAAGTAAGCATATTTCTGACACTGAAAATCATAGAAATTTCAGAACGACTCCTAATGAACATTAGGTCAAAAGAAAGAAATTCTAGTCTATTTTTTTTTCTGAATGATGAGGAACAGTATGGAGTATGGAAACTTTCTTAAGGAATAACTTAACAGCAGAAGCACTGATGAAGTCAAATGAGGGCGAGTTTTAACACAGCAGTTGAGATGAAACAACCTGTTAAACTCTTACTTTATATTCACTTATGAAGACTTGCTTTTTGAGTATGTTAATCATCTTTCTGTCACAGAGAAAAATAAATACCTGTAACAATCAAAATTTTTTTTAAAAAATGAAGAATTATTTTGGCTGAGAGTTTGGAGATTTTAGTCTATACCTAATTGGTCCCATTGCTTTCAGATTTTGGTGGCTGAGTGTATCATGGTTAAGTGCATGACAGAAAAATGCCATTTATCATGTGACAGGTTGCGAAAAAAAAGAAAGAAAGAGGCTAGGGTTCCAGCATTCCCATTCAAAGGCACACCCCCAATGACCTGACTGCCTTCCACTAGGCCCCATCTCCTAAAGGCTCAACTACTTCCCAAGAGCAGCACAGGTTGAGGTCTGCGCCTTTAACACGCGGGGTTTGGGGGAGTTCAAGGGCAAAATATAGCACTGACTTGATAAAACAGCTCATTCTTTCACTACTGCATTGAAACACTTAGCTCTCCCTTTGTTTGCACTTTGATGCTTAAAGCTGTTCTTGCAAAGTCCTGTTATTTGGGGAAAAGTTAGAGTCTAGCTGAATGGCACTTGCCTTTCCAACATCCAGAATGCTTTTGCTATCAGTTTCTGACCTTAGGCTAGTACAGTGGTCACCTGTGAACATAAAGAAGTTGGAAAAATGGACTTTCCTTTTTATTATGATATTCTGGCCTCTTAAGAGTTGTCATCTGTATCCCATACCAATGATTCAAAGAACAATAAATACACCTAACGGGACTGAACTAAATTAAATCTTCAGTGATTTATAAGACAGCATGGGATTATTCTTGTGAATATAAATTTTCATTATAGAAGAATTATGACAGTAGAGTACATGTAAGAATTAAGACGGAACCTTTTCTGAGATTTGGCTTTGTACAGTTTCCGATTTCTGTGCTTGTCGTTTTTCTGTAAACGGAGGGACTGGATTCTAATTAGAGGCTGACGTCTAAGGAAGAATCTACAAGAAAAACTGGAGAAAAGATGATCTGTGCCCTTTGACTTGTCATTTAACTTATCAGTTCCATGGCTTTGTCACTTGTGAAATCAAGATAACATGGAGATTTCCAACGATACAAAATATACATAGAACAGTTTGTAACTTTGAAAATACCACAAAATGAAACAGAAACCTATTTAAGTTCCTTTTAGCAGCATTCCACACCCGTCTACCCAGTGACCAATCCCTTTTATTCTTGGAATGTAATTCCGGTTGAAAACTGTACCAGTGTGTGTTTGCATCTGGGTCCAGGACACTGAGCACAGCCGTGTCTGGCATAAGCACAACCTTTATGGCAGTAGCTTCCATTCCAATTCTCAGTCCAGGGGAAATTTCCAGAAAAATAAAAGCTGAATTTAGTGGTTTTACAGTCCCCGTGCAGGCCCTGGGCCTGGGGCAGACTATAGCCACTTCAGAAAGCATAGAGTCAATTTACAACCACCGAGGTTTCATGATGGGAACGTGGTCCTGTGGCTGGTATACAGAAGAGAAGACATCTTCAGGACTGAGGCTGCCCCTCTGGTAGGTTTTTATACTCACAAACGGAGATGCAAAAACCTGCAACCCTGCCCTCTTGCCACGCTTGCATCCTCCTTGAAAAATCTGCTAACTCAGCCTCCTTTTCAATCTGCTTGGTATCAAGCTGTTGGCTCGCATTTCCTGGATTGCTTCTACTCTTCCTTCACATCTCTCCTCAGACGTACTCTCAGCAGAAGACACCTCCAAGCTCTCCAGGCCCCCGGCTGCTTCACGCTGCCCTTGAAGTTCAATCACTCCTCCTTGGCACACATTGTCACTGTGGCTGTGCAACTGAGTGGCAATTGTCCATGAAGACAGTGGAGCATCTGTGTCTCTCAGAATTACAGACACAGTTCCAAGCAGCTGGCTAAAACCAGACCGTTACTAGGCTGAGTCTGGTTAGATGCCCATTTCAGAAGCATGTCAGGTATTGGGTACAAGATCTACTAGCTCTCACCGTAGGCAGTAGCTCTAGCTTGGCTATACCCCCTGCCAAAGTCATGTGTTTTTAATACGATGCTATTAAGACATAGTGATTTTAGGAGATGATTAAGCCATGTGGGCTCCTCTTTTGAAAATGAGATCAAAGCCTTGTAAAACAGCCTTTAAACAGTGCTAGCCTAGTTTATCTTTTTGTCTTCCACATGGGGAAGACATGGCAAGAATATCCTTGTCAGACCAAATGCCTATGACTTGAGCTTGGACTTTGTGGCCTCAAGACTGTCAGAAATTATTTTTTTGCTCTTTCCTGGTCTGTGGTAATACTGTCATAGCAGCATAAAATGAATTTGAGACTCTAGTCTTATTCTTAGCACGTTCTCGGACTTCTTTCTATCTCCATCTCTCTGATCTCTACAATGCTGTCTGTCTGATTCTCTGAATGAGGTGCTTGCCCTTTCCCAGTATGTCCCTGTGAGAACTAGTAGAAGATGGGGATGGTGTACTGTAAATGAAAGATGAGTGTGAAGGAGAGCAAGAGACTCACAGGAACAGCATCTTCTGCCTCTGGTGTCCTCCGACATCTAGGGGATCCAGCATCTAGGGGATCCAGACATGGTTTTTTTTTTTTTTTTCTGCAGGGGATCCTCCTTGATCCTCATAGACATCCAGAAAGCTTAGGAAGCTGCCTGAGCTGTGCTGGAAACACATACTGGAATATGCTGTCTCCTACCCTGACTTCCATCCTGGGTAATGATCAGGAACTGTAGCCATTAAGCCTCTTTGCTTCTGGTCTCTCATTCTGGACCAGTGGCTCATTTCCCGACTTTATTTCCTAGTCCAGTTCAGTACTGAGAGCTCCATAAGTAACTTCTGAGGAAGGTAAAAACAGAAAAAGATGAAGAAAACACTAGGCATCAATTAATAGTGGTTAGACGAGGAGGAGCTTTCCACAGTATAGTGTAACAAGTCACCAAGCTTGCAGCACACCTGGGGCGTGCCTAAGCACCAAGGAGGCAGAGGAGGTGAAAAATTGGCAAGAGGCGGGAGTACAGCTGTCACTGGCCCACAAGCTTCAGAAGAGAGGTCCCCCACACCTTCAGCCACCTACTACCATCTGCTGCTCCACACAGGACTCAACCACACCTCCTGTGGATGATGACATCCAACACGAGCTCTGACTGTGTGCCCACCCAAGGTACGCACACAGAGACTTCCTAAGCAAGTGGACCCCTCCAGAGAATGACAGGGAGCATTAGTGTGAGGGATGGCGAGATAACTCATGCAGCTGAAAATAATACAGAGTCTACCTTAAGAATGTGAAATTACTCATAACTCAGGAAGCCACCTCATCCAGGAAAATCCCATGACTGATCTGATCTCTGACAAAAACTACTTTAACACTGTAATTTCTCAAACAGGAAAACCAGAAGTCTGAAATGTGTTACATGACTTGATAAGACCATAAAGTCACATAAAACCAAAAGCTAGAATTAGCTCTATGCCATAGTTAAACACTCTTGGCTACACACCAGAATAAGTGGAAATTTAAAAAAAGAAATAAAAGAAAGTATGCTCCCTAAATTCCAGGATTCCATTTGAAATGATGGGACTAGAGAGTTGACTTAGTGGTTAAGAGCACTTGCTACTCTTGCAGAGAACCTGAATTCAGTTCCCGGGACCCATGTTAGGCAGCTTATCTGTCAACTCTAGCTCCAGGGGATCCAGTGCCTTCTTCTGACTTTCACAAATACTCACACACACATGAGCATACACACTCAGAGACACATGCATAGCCACACAAATAAAAATAAATGTTTAAACTTAAGAGCTTAAAAGAAGCATTCACTTCGGCAACACATATACTAAAACTGGAGCAACACAGAAAAGATTAGCAAGGCCCTGTGCGAGGGTGACACACAAAGTCGTGAAATATTCCATATTTCATGGAAGGAGTTGAAGGGGGGGGACTGGAAGGGATGGAAATAATGTAAATACAATACTAATGTATAAGATTGTCTGAAATAAAATTATATATATTAGAAAGTAAAAAGAAATAAAATGAATTGATCAGATGCTTCTTAGGTGGGACCAAAAAAAAAATCTGTACTCCTCAAAAGTTTGAAGTAATCTATCAGATTTAGAAAATCATATTCCAGAAAGCCTCTCATTTTGGTTCTTATTTGTGTCCCTTGATGCAAAAGGAGGTATCCAAAACATCTGAATTCTAGAAGATTTTTTGTTAGGTGAGGAGATTAGCCACCAGGAAGAAAAGTGGCTAACAAGAAAGAGTAAGACGGAGGGATATGGAGAACAAAAGCACAGTTATTGTTAACTGTATCAGGAGGAGAAGGGTAGTCTGTGTGAGCTCACAAGACACAGTTCTCAAGGTATGAATTATGCATTATTAACATTGGATAGGTGTAGGGGACAGAGTGATAAGAATCCCCTCACTATCCAATGGTACTGCACTCATCTTTGTTCTGACATCTGAAATCCCCCTTACTGGGTTTACCAATGGAGGTCCCTTCCTTGGGCGCAGTTCTGCAGCCTAGTCTCTGTATTGATGGTGGAGAATCTGTTGGTACTCTCCTGCCCCAATCCCTGCCATATACACTTCTTATTTATACAGATCCTTATGAATGCCTTTAAGATTCTTATTATACTGTCTCTGGTTATCTTTTTAGTCTAGTTTTCAACAACCTCTAGAGTTCTCTCCCCAAAATATTGCTATACCTTTGCATATCTTTTTCATATGGAATATTCATCTCACCATCTCAATCCTCCCCTCTCAATTTACACTTAGACAGCAGACATATATCCTTCAACTCCAACCTGAAATATCGTCTGTAATGAACAGTAGACAATGAAGAGTTGCTTTCACTTTGATAGAAAAAAGGATAAGGAAATAAAAATATTTTCAGTTTTGATTTTGCTTTTGGGTTTATTTGAAAAGAGTCTTACTATGTAACCCAGGGTGACTTCAAACTGTCTCCATCCTTCTGTCTGTACCCTCCCAGTGCTGGTATGACAGTCATACGCCACTGTGCTTGGAGAAACATGACTTTTAACAATGGGATTCCAGGCATCAACCAGTAAGGAAGAGGACAGTGGTGCTCATTCAATTCTACTGAAATTATAGCCTCTAAATTTTTGCCTCTTTTGCCAATGGGCAAAGTCAAAATCAAATAGAGGAAGATATGAATGTCAGGGCATGAGATAATTTCTTATTCTTAGTGGGATCAAAGGCAAATTCTTCCTTGTTTGATTAGTGAATATACAAATATTGATATTTCTGGGCCTGATATTCAAATCCAGATTAAACTTCTGGAAATAGGTAAGCTGGGAAATGCAATTTGCTCTTTGTAAGTCACTTTGCTGTTAACCTTCTCCTCCAATATTGTCAAATGGCAAAATGCAACTGATGCTATTTTAGCTATGAGCAGAAGAAAATAAATCCCTGTGGCAACAAGCATCTGTCAAGGGATTTGATGTCTCCAAAATATTCCTTGGTATTAAGCAGGCAATCTTTCACTTCCATGGGGGATTCTCATTGATATGTATGAGCTGAGTACTCTATTATTTATGGTCAAGTGCAAATTGATATGTTTAAGAAAAATGCAAAATTAAGGGATGTGTGTAGTAAAGACCTAAAGAGGTAATTATGGCTCCAGTGTGGATAATTTAAAAACACTGATGTTATAATATGCTTTAGTGTACCTGGGTATGCTTTTGGAACGAAATAATGCATTACTTTCAAAATGCCTGCACTGAAGTTACAGTAAGTTGTATTGCCAGAGAAAGTTCCCAGTGCTTCAGTATGTTTCAGTGGAACACCCGGTAGAACAGTGGAACCGATATTAGGCAAGAGGTTAAAAAAAAGAGCTATCCAATAAGACTTACTGCAATAATAAAAATGTAGCATGGCTGTACTATTCAATATGCTAGCTACCCTTAACCGCATGTGGATAAAGTGCATACGCTGACTAAGGAACTTAATATTAATTGAAAATAAATGACAAATTTAAATGGAGTTGTACACAGGTAGTGGCTACCTTATTGAAACCTGAGCTTTCACATGAAATTCATCACAAAAGTGTTCTCTGCTTTGCATTCCTGAGTTTTTCCACATGCAAAGTAGTTTTTTAAAAATTAATACTGTTTGCGAATTTCATACATGCATATAATGTTTTCCCATCAAATCTATTCCTCATTTCCTGGCTTCCAACTTCTTCCCTCCTCCCCTACCACTTTTCTCTCCCAACTTCAGGTGCTCCTTTGAATATATCCACTGAGTCCACTTAGTGCTGCTTGAACACACTTGGGTGTAGGAACATGTATTGGAAACCAGGTAGCCTCTTCCCCAATTGGTAACAGCTCTTCAGCTTCTACATGAACCTTTCCTCATGTATGCTGAGATTTTGACTAGCCTGATCTTTTACAGGGCTTATGTATGCTATCATAGCCACTGAGTTGATACTTGCAAGGGTCCTGTCATATCTTGGCAAGTATTGTTTACCAGCAGATGTCTACTACCTCTGGCTCTTATAATCTTCCCCACCACCTCTTCTGCAATGATTCCAGAGTCTTTGAGGGTGGGTGTATGATAAAGATGTCCCATTTAGAACTTAGCACTCCAGTCTCTTTATTATCTGCATGTTGACTGGTTGTGGGCTTCTATATTAATAGTCATCTACTGTAAATAGAAGCTTCTCTGATGAGGGTTAAGAGATGCACTGATCTATTAGTATAAGCATAAGGACTTAGGACAGTTTATTGCTATGTTCATTTAACAGAATGATAGTATTAGGTTAGCTTCTTTTCTAAGGGTCTATGATCTAGCAAGCCATGGGTTTTTGGCTCAGTTAAGGGTGCCATACATGAGTTCTCTCTTATGGAGCAAGATTTAAATTTAATTAGAAAGTGATTGGTCACTCCCATAACAAGTCATGTACTAAATACTTTTTAAACAAAGTTGTACTTATTATTTTGTCAAATTTCAAAATTTTATCATCCCCCAACTCATTAAATGAAACAGAAACATTTGAAACCATTAAGAATATCTTGTTATGACCAAGAAAATGACAAAATGACCACCCTCCTCCAACCTGGTTAAGGGAAATGCTCTGAAATGTGTCTTTAAGGAAATTCCACTTCTGACTCTCAGGATAAATAATATCCAAGCCTAGCAATTTGGAATTTGTGTTTGTTATTATCATTACTTTTGTCAATGTTGTAGATAAACTAGGCAATTTTAATCTTAATATTTGAATTTTTGATAGTCTTTGAATTTTAGCTCTTAGGAACATTCTGGAGGCTTGAACAGAGGGCATGCTCATAGTGAGAAAAGATAATGTATAAATCAGCTAACAAGATACCTCACTGGTTAAGAACTTATCGACACTTAAGTGTCTGCACCATGCAGAAGCTAGTTTCCTTCACAAAGAAAACAGCTGGCCAAGGCCGTGGACATTGGGATGTGTCTCAGAGTAAAAGGAAAAGGGGGCCTGTGACAAGGCACAACCGGGAGGGAGATGCTCAGAGAAGTCAAGACTGAGAGAAGAAGCAAATCATAGGTGACACACATTTCCCCAGCAGTTTCATCTTTAAGAAATTCATTCTAAATTATGACAATAGAGAAAAAGCATATTAAAACCGGAAAAGGGACAATTATCAGGAAACAGTCAAAATCAAACATGGAGTACATATATATATAACATCATATGGACACATCACTGTTATAACAGTGAAACTTTGGGAACGAATCTAACTACATAGTAACACGGAATGGGTCATTGGGCTGTCTATGGAACAGAGCACTCTAGTCACTGCAGGAAAGATAGAAAAAGCAAGATATTTTTCAATTGTTATAGTCATTATAAAATAAGAAAGAAAATACATAGTAAGAAATATGATTTCTGACTTTAGATATTTAGCATCTCCAAATATATGCTATGGAGACTTCATGTAGATAACAGATGCCCAAATATTAATAATTTAACATATTAAAATCTTCATCTATAAATGTATAAATGGATACCTAAATATTAATAGTATTTCTCTCCAGGTGCGGTTCTGGGATCATGGGTGACTTACTACTCTTTTAATATTTATTCTAGTTTATGATAAAATTACCATATATTTATAATTTAAAGGAAAGATATTAATCCTATTGAAAGTAATCTTTTTAAGAATTTGAAAGGACTAGGGAGATAGTTCAGTTAATAGAGTGTTTGATTTACTTGCATGAGGACCAGAGTCGAATTGCTATAAACCATGTTAAAAAAGAGAAAGAGCCAAAAGTAGTGTGCCCTTGTAATTCCAGCACTGGGGTGGTGGAGGCTGGCATATCCCTGGGGCTGACTGGTCAGCCAGCCTAGTTGGCAAGTTCCAGGCCAGCAAGAGAACTTGTATCAAGAAAAGTAGATTGTTGTTGAGGAAGACACTTGAGAGTATCCCCTGGCCTTCTCATTCATGTACACACACACACAAACACAGACACACACAGTCACACACATACACACCTGCACATGTGAATACAACACACACATACACATACACATACACACAAAGTATCAACAAAATAGCAAGTGATTAGCTTTGCAGATATTATTACATCTCTGGAAATCAGACGGGGAATTCATTAGTTATGTGTGATGATATATCAGAGGGTACCAAGAATGGGTCAATAATCCTATTGAAACATCCTGTTTAGACATAGAGAGAAATCAAGCTCATTTGATGCTGGATGCATATCAATAAATGGCTATAAATATTCATCACCAGCTACAGCCTTTGGGTTCGTGTAAAATGTAACTGTATTTTCCAAATTATCTTCTAAGAAAGTAGTGAGGTCTTTGTGTGTATGTGTGTGTGTTTGTATGTGTGTATGTGTGATGTGTGTGCACATGCATATGTGTGTACACATGTATAGAGGCCAGAGGGCA